CAGTTTAATCTAAAGTTTTACCGGTTACCACCAACCTTTTTGGATCTCTTGATTTAGAGGTTCGTATATAAACAGTGAGTAACCAATCCACTTGCCTCTCCACCAGTTCTCTTTCCCACATCCATTTTCGAATCACAAATCGGAGATTCGAGCTTCATTCACGATGAAGGTGGTAGATAAGATCAAATCGGTGACGGAACAAGGCAAAACAGCCTTCTCCTTCGAGTTTTTCCCACCGAAAACCGAAGATGGCGTCGAGAATCTCTTTGAACGAATGGATCGATTGGTTTCTTACGGACCAACTTTCTGCGATATCACTTGGGGTGCCGGAGGATCCACCGCCGATCTGACCTTAGAGATCGCTTCGAGGATGCAGAACGTTATCTGCGTCGAGACGATGATGCATCTCACTTGTACCAATATGCCTGTTGAGAAGATTGATCATGCTCTTGAGACGATTAGATCTAATGGGATTCAGAATGTGCTTGCGCTTAGAGGAGATCCGCCTCATGGGCAGGATAAATTCGTTCAGGTTGAAGGAGGGTTTGCTTGTGCTTTGGATCTGGTGAATCATATTCGTAGCAAGTATGGTGATTACTTTGGAATCACTGTTGCTGGTTATCCTGGTATTAAAATTGATCAATTTCGTTGTTGGTTTCGGTAATGTGTTGTGTGTTAGTGTTCTGATGAATTGGGTTTTTGTTTTGTTTTGTAATCAGAGGCTCATCCTGATGTTATTGAAGCCAATGGTCTTGCTACACCTGAATCTTATCAGAGTGATCTTGCTTACCTGAAGCAAAAGGTTTAGATTTTTCGTGTCATGGCTTTTGCATTTTGGTGTGTTGAATTGAGTCGTTTTGAGCTGATGGATTAGTGTGTTGGGTTTGTGGAACAGGTTGATGCTGGAGCTGATCTGATTGTAACTCAGCTTTTCTATGATACTGATATATTCCTCAAATTTGTGAATGATTGTCGGCAAATTGGGATAAATTGTCCCATTGTTCCTGGAATTATGCCCATTTCCAACTACAAAGGGTTCTTACGTATGGCTGGTTTTTGCAAGACCAAGGTACATTGTGATCTCTTACATTAGTGATGATATAGCTTGCATTGTAGAAAATGTTGTCTTTGTGCTTTAATGCTTAAGTTTAGGCTGACATATTTAGACCCTTGGTGATGAATTATGACTAATGTTGTCGGACTTCATTCTTCTTTGATTAATGTTCCACTCATGATCTTATTGCTACAGATACCTGCTGAGCTCACTGCTGCCTTGGAGCCTATTAAGGAGAATGACGAAGCTGTTAAAGCCTATGGTATTCACTTTGCAACAGAGATGTGCAAGAAGATTTTGGCCCATGGAATCACAACCCTTCATCTCTACACATTGAATGTGGACAAATCAGCTATTGGGATATTAATGGTTGTTCCTCATTTCCTTCAAAATCTTTCTCTTTGTAGTAATATATAACATACTGGACACCGGAGAACCTAAAATTGGTGCTGAAATTGCAGAACCTTGGTTTAATCGATGAGTCAAAAATTTCCCGGTCTCTACCTTGGAGACGCCCTGCAAATGTTTTCCGTACTAAGGAAGATGTTCGCCCCATATTCTGGTAACCTACATTTTGTTTCCCTTGCTCTGATATTGCCTCGCCAATCACTGCAGATTTTAAAATTCTATTTGCAGAGAGGATAATACCATTTGCTTTCTTCTGAATGTTTTCAGGGCAAACCGTCCAAAGAGTTACATATCTAGAACAAAGGGCTGGAATGACTTTCCACAGGGACGGTGGGGTGATTCACGCAGTGCATCATATGGTACACTTTCGGATTATCAGGTACCACATACTCGTTATTTTTTACGACAATCTACTTTAGAATTTTCGGAACTTGAATTCTAAAGGGCTTATTTTAGTTGTTCTTCTTGATTCGCTTATGATTGTAATTTCATATTGTTATTTTCCCCTGCTATTTATGAGGAGATACTTGATTTTCTTATCATCTTACGCGTCTTCTATGCTAATTAATGGCTCTCATCTAAATGCATATGTTGATAGTTTCTGCGCCCAAAAGCACGTGACAAGAAGCTTCAGCAAGAATGGGTTGTCCCATTGAAAAGCATTGAAGATGTTCAAGAGGTAGCCTTTCCTTTTGTTATAGCACTCATATAAATTGTTTCCTTTGTCTTTCACCTTATGCACAAACCCTTTCAAATTGTCTGATAAAAACTGTCTCAAACCAGAAATTCAAGGAGCTCTGTCTTGGAAGCTTAAAAAGCAGTCCATGGTCTGAATTAGATGGACTCCAGCCAGAGACAAAAATTATCAACGATCAACTTGGAAAAATCAACTCCAGTGGCTTCCTGACCATCAATAGCCAACCATCAGTCAATGCAGCCAAATCCGATTCCCCAGCTATTGGTAATACATTTATGTGATTGTTCACATATCATAACATAGTGTTTCAATCCCCTGCATATTGCTTTTCGGAAAAACATCAGTTTTATCCACAAATGATTGATCCCATTGTATGTGAAGCTTATTCGTTGAGTAATTATGTTCTTAGCATATAACAAAAATGTGTAATTGCAATTGAAAATTTGTAGGATGGGGTGGTCCTGGTGGCTACGTCTACCAGAAAGCTTATCTAGAGTTCTTCTGCTCAAAGGATAAGCTGGACACACTTGTGGAGAAATCCAAAGCTTTTCCTTCTATCACCTACATGGCTTTGAACAAAGCAGAGAATTGGGTATCAAACATCGGTGAATCCGATGTGAATGCAGTTACTTGGGGAGTGTTCCCAGCTAAGGAGATTATTCAACCAACAATCGTCGATCCAGCTAGTTTCAAAGTCTGGAAAGACGAAGCATTTGAGATCTGGTCAAGAAACTGGGCTAACTTGTACCCAGAAGATGACCCTTCTTCTAGAAAGTTGCTCGAAGAGGTAGAGAATCGTCTTTCACTTTGCTTCTCTTCTTTATTCTTTACTCGATCGAATCATAGCTGTAATGATGATTGTGATCTAATCAAAATGTGCAGGTGAAGAACAGCTACTATTTGGTAAGCTTAGTGGACAATGATTACATCAATGGTGATATCTTCTCTGTCTTTGCTTGATCTATGAGGAACATTCCATTTGCGCGATTTGTTTTTGTAACCTTTAAAAAGGTATATGTGATTCATAATAACCTTATTGATGTATCAAGAAAAACATCAGTTTCATTGCAATGAAAAGAATCGCCTTGGCGGTTTGTTCTTTCTCTTGTGTCAAAACAACATCTTATAATAATATAAGCTTCATAAATCAAGAAATGTTGGCATTTCTTAAAGTTTTCGAAGTAACAAGACCCGAAGATGTCCGCATCAAATGCTCCTTAAGCATCGAAACGCCAGACGCATCAGTCTTCAAAAGCGGTTGTACCGATTCCCACATCTTCTTCTTCTGAACCTACAACAACAAAGATAAAGAGACTTGAACAAATGTTACTGAAATGAATAGTCATACTGCAAGGCTAAGAAGTAAGACCTTATTGGGAGGTGCAGGCTCGGGAAGCTGCTCGAGATCTTCTTCGTTACCAAACCAAACTCTATCTCCAGAAACAGACCCTTGTGGTGGAACAAGAAGCTCAACATTCTCATGAGCTGAATCAGATGCACACAGAAGCATACCACATGACTTTACTCCTCTCATGTTTCTTGGCTTCAGATTAGCCAACACCACAACTGATGCACCCTGCACACAGAGCCATTGCCATTGATGAGTCTCCAAATTTTGCCAATGAGACTCAAACTTAGCCATTTCTCAATCTAATGGAGAATTTAGAATCGAATTTATAGAACAATGAAGCTGACCTGAAGGAGATCGAGAGGGACGTATTTGACGAGACCACTGCAAATGATTCTGGGCTCTGCTTCACCAATGTCGACTTCTTCAACATACAGAGAATCAGCTTCTTCGTGTTGCCAAGCTTTCACAATTCGTCCTACTTTTATATCTAACAGATTCGCCGTCTCCTTCACATCCTCTTCCTGAGATTCGATCTTCTTCTCCGATTTAGAAACCGTCGCCCCTGCGTCGGGAGTCGCCGTGCAGAAAGTAGTAACTCCAGGCCAAGAGCTCCGATTACGCTGGTGGTGGTTATAAACGGCGGAGACTCGAAGAGGTGAGGAAATTGTCTTCGTCGACGAAGAAGAGAAGTAACAAGGGAGTTCACGGCGGAGAGGAATCGATGAGATTTGGACGGCGAGAACTCCAGCCTTCACTTTCAGTCCACCGGAAAAAACCGCTATTGTCGCCGCCATGGATTTGGATTATCTAAGATCAGTGTTCTCTCTCTCTTTTTCACCATATCTACATATTTATATACGAGGGATTTGCCGATGCGTGGATTTAAATTTAACATGATAAAATATTTAATAACTTGTAGTTTATGGATTATTTGTGTTTTTTTTTACAGATTAATTGTGTATTTTAATATTACAGAAATTCGGTGTTTATAGACTAAACACTTGTAACAAATTGTTGGATATATACAATTTTAAATACATATAAAAAGACTGTTTACTAATAAAAATTGAATATGAATCGACTAAACTTATGTRAGTTGTATATATTATGTGAGTTGATCACCAAACACATTGTAACATTGATAAAACCATGCTTAAAATTTTACGTAAATTGGATTTAAAGAAACCTTACTATAATATGTGTTCATGTTTTCTGATTCATATTAAAGTTATGAATTTAGTATCATATTAGAAATTCATATTTAAATCTCTTTATAAAACAGTGCAGTGTGCATTAACATAAAGTTTGTACATAAAAACTAAAAACTCTAAGAAAAGTGGTTGTGAATGAAGAAGAAGCCGGTTGGAGAATACATTTTCTTGTGAAAGCATAGACTGAAACGGGA